TTCCATTCCACTGAAACGCGGAAACTACGCTATTCTAATAACAAATTCTCATCACCAGAGGTGTGTACCATCGGTGCACGCGCGTGTCTATTTTCTCAGTCGTGTGCGTTGTTGAATTCTGATGCCAGGTACACCACCGGTAGCAATAAACACACCAGCAGCATCACCGCTATTATCAACCAGGGCAGGAGCAGCAGCAGCGCGGCAAGACGGCGCGACCAGTTAGTTGTATTATAGAAGTGTGTTATCATCATGCGATTGTTTCTGATCGCTGCAACCGGTGCCGCAATTTTTATCAGCACTGCACCACGAGATGTAGCCGGACAGGAAAGTGCCACCGAACGGACAGCTGTTGCTGCTGCCGGAGCAGCCGGTGAAACTGGCGCACCGGTTTGTAACATCAACGAGATCTTCAACGGAAGGACATGCAAATGCGCACCTGGGTAAGTTAATCAAAACAGCTTTCATTCAAAATTTACAGTTTGTCTTTTACTGTTCAAGATATCCCCTTTATGCGCATTAATAGTCACATCACCTCTTACACACGTATCAACACCACAACCATTATATTGACGAGACGCTGAATAGGAATGTGTACGACTTAATGAACCAAAACATTTTTCCGGCTCATCTGATTGTTTTTTAATATATTTTTATATTTCACATATCTACCAGCATTAATATCTCTCTTACTCACAGCAAAAGCTGGCCAGTACTTTCAAGAAAATACACATTTTTAGCCAGTAATGTTACGTCGTATTTTTTGACCTAAAAAATTGGCTGAATTTTCAATTTCTTAGTATAAACAATTAGAAATATTACTAAAATTTTATTTGTTGTTGATGTTTTTGCTTTCTTGCAATTATTGGACAACACGTATCAGTGAGTAGCATCGTGAGAAAGTAAATGACCACTTGGATGACCATCGAAGAAGTGACGCACATAAATCGAACAGCCATTAACTGGAGGTATACAGTTTAGGACCGATGAACTTGGCATATCTGTGCCTGGTGTATGGGAGCATCTCAGTAATATTAGTAATATGGTATCATCGTTCGGGAGGCCGTCGTATTCTTGACATCCCTGACTTTGAAATTTCATTTGGAAGTTTGCTTCTCCTCAGATCAGAGCGAAAAGCTACTGTTTGGATTTATGGATTTGAAACATATCGTAATATCATCTTCAAAATCTGGTCTCCTTCGGGCGAGTTTGCTGACTTATAAAAGCCATGTTTCTAAAAGTAACAAATGCCGGCATAGTCGGGCACGATTAAGCTCTTCCTCGGCTTTCAACTTCCTTTCGA